GTAGGGCCTCAAAAAAGGGCTTCATAAATGATTTTTGTTGCCTTCCAGCACAAAGCTCATGACCCCCACACTATTCGCTACAGACTTCCAGCTCCGTGGAGAGTATGTTACGATCCAAACTGGGAGTTTCTGGCAAGAAGCGCTTGTGAATATGCACACAATATAAAACAGGAAGAAGGATTTCAGTTTATCAGTGTTCACTTGGGCTTGTTTGTTGCTTGGAAAAAAAAAAAAGAAACCACAGAAAACCACACAACCTGGCAGGCTTCCCACCACTATGCAATAGTATAGGAAGGCTCCTGTCACCTGGGGACTCACATGCTGATGTGTGAGTGAAGAGAGCAATAGCCAGGATTCATGGGGTTTTCAGCATGAGCCTAATAAACTCTGACAGGCTACTAGTGTTAAGACAGGAGCGCTGAACAGAAACTGTCTTAAGAACTACTGACAGCTTCTTTCCGAAAGCTAAAAAATGTCACTTTCATGAGCTATTCCTTTACACTGAAGCACAGAATGGATTTCCAAAGGTTTGTATCTGGGTTTATGCAGCACTTGCCAGCCTTTTAAACTTACTCTGCACTCAAATCCAGCTTCCCTGATAAAGGAAGATAATATTAGCTTGTATGAAATACCACATCATCTTACATCCCACACAGAGCTTTAGCCTGAGGATTTCCGGACAGACACAGTTCACCCAGAGCAATTGAAGGTAGTCAGAGGGTCATGGGATCAAGTCACATATGCATTTCCTTTCTTCTCCAGCATCCCTCTGGTAAAGCTTGTGCTCCTGAATTGCTCTTTTGCAATAGGGTAAACAAGTAAATGTTTGGGGCTCACGAGATATCTGTCATCTATAGAAGCAAGCTTATTTTGCCTTTCTCAGTTTGTCTTTAGAAACCTAGCATCGTATGGGAAAGAAAAATAGTAGAACGTCTCAGAAGTGTAGTTTTTGAGAAGCAGCCTTTGTCATTCATACAGAAAATTTCCAGCTACCGCTGTCCCTTGATGAAAGGACACAGGCACTGCCATCCCTTTCTCACAGCTGACAAAACAGATACAGATTAAACAGTTGCCAAGCACGAGTTACTAAGTTAGCAGCACAAGGAGTAATAAAGCCCTGGACTTCCAGCCCTGACGCTTCAGCTTCTGGGCCAAATTCGTTCATCGCTTTCTAGGATAGCAATCAGTAGATTCTGAGTCTCTAAAAGTTAACGCAGACTTACTGCAAAAGTAGCACTTTTTGTTAATACCTTTGTCATTGGTAATGAAAAGAGAAGACAGCAGGTACAGACACACACCAGCAGCTAAACTGTTATTGCACTCTCTGCTTCAGAAGTCCATTCAAGAGTAGGATGGTGGGACAAAAATAATTATAGGGGTCTTTCTACACAAAAGAGCCAGCTATTTAGAGGCAGGCAAAGTCATTTGAATGTCAATGAAATAACCATTAAAAGGCTGAGAAGCATCGCCATTTATTAAAAGATCTAAAGAATAGTTGCATGCACTACAGCAATCTTCTAGGTAGGAGTTGTTAATTTGGTATAAAAACCTATTAGGGACAGGACAGAGCATAATTAAACAGGAGACAATACACACTGTGAAAAGGAAGCTGGATTTGGAATTTTACAGCCTCTTATTTCATGTTTCTACATGAAATACTATGCTCTATAACCTCTCCTTAATGACACCGAGGTACTTCTAGCTCCCACAGAGTTTTACGTTTCAGTTCTAGCAGTGGTCTCCTACAGCTTCGGGAGGAAGGTAAAACAAGGTTACGCACTTGAATGCCCTCCCACTCTTCCCAGCCTCACGGCAATCCTTCTTCCGAGAAAGCCTCTCATCAACACCACTCCTTAATTGGCCCGAGAGCCCCTCTTTAAACAAAGCTCTCGTCTCCCACAGGGCCGAGCTCTTTTTGCTGTTCTGGCAGAGCTAAATCCGGACGAGGATGTGCCATTTACCCACACAAGTGTACTGTAAACTCAAACGCGCAGGGAAGAAGGCAGGTACTTCCAGGAGAAGTTGTTGATGTTCTGCAGGTAGGAGAAAACCTTCGATCTACGTGTAAGCCTGTCAGGTCGTTACTTCAGGAAAAAGTGTAAGACACTTGTAATACTGCTCAGTAACAAACACAGGATCGGTCGGAGACCTTGGGTAGCTTCTGGACTCACGCACCCAACGTGAGCTAAACCAGACTGCTAGGTACAAAGCTTCGTTACAGAGCTACAGGACAGACAAAGATTTCAAGAGTTAGACAGGAAAGGGCTCTGCATTTGTGAAGATGATCACTTTTCAGAGTTATTACCAGTCAGTAAGAACATTCAGGTGCAGTGCAGCTTTAACCTCTTCTTTAGAAGTAACCCTGGTGCCTTCGCTGTTTGCCCACACGCTGCCAGGCAAGTGACTTTTACAAGTGACACGCAAAATGAATCCTACATTTTCTGTCATCCTAAGGCACTGCAGTTCTTTATGCACTCAGCCAGCGCAGCAAAGTATGCCATAATATTTGAGAAAAAAGTAAATACAAATGCCCGTGGCAGGACCAAGGAGCAATTGTTTGACACCTCCCGCAAGACCCAGAGGCACAGAATTCTCCACCGATATGTATCAGACGAGCATGTAATTTAAAATACTTTGTTCTTTCTCCTTTATTTAGCCACAACACAAACACAAGAGCAGTCAACCCCCGTCCAGTGGAACTCACTAGATAAAGCTGTTCAGATTAAGATTCTTATGAAATCATCCAAAATACACATCTATACGCACACGCTCTCATGCACACAAGAATGCAGCAGAGCCCTTAACTGCACCTAAAAGCAAAACGCGACAAAAACCAACCGGTTAGGATACATCTGTTGAACAACAAGGCTGGGCTGCGAACGGGTTCCACTGTACCACGCCACTGGCCACGTGAACACCAGCATCGCTCCTTTCAGGTGCAAATTTGAAGCTCACAGAGGGAAAGATTCTGATCTCAGTTACCCAAGAATATGAGGTAATGGAACAACTACTCCACTGTATCTCAAGCAGAACCTGGCCCTGTGAAACAAGCATGCATACGACTAGCGGTGCCTGGAAGACCACTGCAGGTGACAACTTTTTTTTTCCCCCTTCACTTCCCCAGCGACTAAACCCACCACCAATATAGTGTGCAATTTGGCTGTTGCACCTTCCCCACTCTGGAGTTTGCTCTAAAGCACGTACTGCTCCTTTTGGTGGAAGAAATGGCGTAGTGGTTCTGTAGAACAAGACCACCAAAAATACCAAACCGCTGCAGAAGAATTGGGCTCTTAGATAACGCTGGTCCATCTGATTTGTCAACGCTTTGTTCAGAAATACAAGACTCAAATATAGTTTACAAAAAGAGTAACTCTTTATAGAACATCTCAGTGTCAAAATACTAACAAAACCACAGCTTGTTAATGCTGAGAAGAGCGGTTTCTTGGAAAAATTAATAACTAAACTAGGCCACTGCTAACAACAATAGCTGATATCTCTTCATAAAAAGGCAGTCTGACACACTCAGGAAAAACAAAACATTTGAAAACAAACTGTTTACAAAAGTGATTTAAATGCTCAGCACAGATCTAACACAAGTGTTAACAACCACTATTGTAATTTTATTTTCAGACTTCACCAACTATTTAAAAAAAAAAACCAACACAACAAAAACCAAACAAACAAACAAAAAAACCCACAAAAAATAAAACAACCTGCTAATACAAAAATATAGAAAACAAAAGAAAAATCCAAAGAGACAGTTTTTAGACAAACTTGGTTAAGGTGAAGCTGTACCTTTGTCCCAGTTATTAAGAACTTCAACTTTAAGCGTGGCATAACCCAGCTCAGCTAGGTCTGTAGGCTTCCCCACCCTCACTAAAGAGTTCATTCTTAGAAGGCTCCAATCTCAGTCCCCCAGGGTCTGTATGGTTTGCTAAGGGTTGCTGACTGCGTCGGTGCAGACGGGCTCAGCACGTTGGGGGACAGCAGATGGAAGGAGCCAAAGGAAAAGGGGAACGCAGACAGAGATGCCACGGAGGAAAGAAGAGGAGGAGACAGTTTGGCAGTAGATGTGACCACGGGGAGCACTGGTCCGACGCTGCCATTTGGGGGCACTCTGAGTGAGGAATTTTCAGCATGTGGGGCAGCAATTCTGGTCTGGTGATGTGGTTCTGTGGAAGATGCCGTAGTACTGGTATTACCGTGCCCGTTTGGAGCCAGCAGCAACGGGTGAGATATGTGAGGGTGATGTCCAAAGGCACTGCCCCAAGGAATGTGTCCAATGCCAGCATGTGCACTACCTGCTGCTTCCCGTTGAGAGGCGTAGTTATTGAGGTGAGACACAAGTCGGACTCGCAGAGGATCGGAGGCGTCCAGACCCTCTATAATACTAAGGTACCGAGCAACTTCAGCCAGGCACTCACGAAACCCTAGACTCCGATAGTCCATCGCCAAAGCATGAGCATCAAAATAACCTGAGGAAAAAAGAACAAAGAATGGAGCCTTAAGATGCTGGTTTCTAGTCATTGTCTACATGTAGTCTCCCCACTCCACCCTCCCCTATAAGCATATTTCACTTGGATGTGGTTAGTATTCCCAACCATAGATTAGCTGCCAAGCTCCCTTTTTTTTTTTTTTGTTCCTTTTTTTGTCTAACAAGCTTTTCTTTTATATCTGTGCTGTGATGCTGCAAGTCCCAAGACCAGTCACAGACTGTCATTTTTAAAATGAAATTGCACAGCGCCACTGCAGGAAAGTACTTTTGTTCTTTCCATGTCTCCCCAGTGCAAGCAAAACCACAGCACAGCAAAATTCATCAGAAGCACAAGTCCTAACTTATCAGAGGGGACTTCTGCAGGCAACATACTTTTTTCCTAAAAAGCACATTTTTGCTAATTCTTTCCACGACTTGTTTCATCCTGCTTTTTTTTTTTTTCCTACCTTCTGTTCTGAACTTTCAGAAAGTCAGAGAAACAAGCAACAAAAACGTCACGTTTTCCAAGTTGCCAAAAGCCAATTCACGGTGCTGACACATCACTACAGAGTCCTGTAATCGCCCTCTCCGAGAACAACCCAGAGCTAGCACTGCAAAGCTTCAGCACTAGCAATGTGGCAAACCTTGTCAAGTAAAAGTCCCAAATTTCTGATGAAATGTAAAAGAGTTCCCATTCACATTCTCCAAGCTCTCCCACATACACGAATGCTAGAGGATGCACTCTTCTTGCTGCAGAGCTGCTGACCCGCTGTCAGGCATGAAACTTTACCTTTCCCTCCTGCTGTATGCAGCATCTTCAGGTGGTCAACAGTCATCTGCAGAATCTCTGCTTTTTCCAGCTTGGCTGATCCCTAGGAAGGAAGGAGAAGCACGGAACTTTTTAGGCAGAAAACCAGACGCGTTAGAGAGGGGTGACCCTTCCTCTCGGGAACGTGTGGGAGGGGGAGGCAGGGCAGAGGGTCACCGAGCACTACCTGCTTCTCAAAGGCGCTGGGCACCAGCCTCCTCAGCTCGGACAGGCTGTTGTTGATGCGATCGCGGCGGCGCTTCTCGATGATCTAGGGCAGAAAG